CCAGCGCTGCAGTTCAGCTGGCTCTGGCGGCAAAAGTACAAAAAAGAAACAAAACACTTTTTCTTTTTTTTTTTTTTTCCCCCAGTCAGCGTCTTTTTCTGGATCCACAGTGTGACCGCAGGCAAGGCAGAGGCGCTTTTTATCCTTAAAACCACTGGTCTATTAACACGTACATTGTGTAAGGCTCAAATAAAGGTTGTCTGGGGTGAGGTGAGGTGACACGAAGCCCGCCGGGATCGTGCGGTGTCCGCGGGGACCTGCGTTGGCTTAAAACAAACTTTGAAAGTTTTATTACAATACTTTAAAAAGAAGTAAACATCTCTTTTACCACTACCTATATATTCTCACTTTTCAGTATTAAAGAGCAGTCCCTTGAAACATAATCCTGAAAACATTTTTCAGTGTATTGCTCTTCCCACCGATATTTTTTTTTATATACTTTTACCTGCATGTGTACAGAGGAGAAAGGAAAGCCCAATTTTTTATTTTTTTTTAAATTTTTTTTCTTTCAGACAGGTGATTTGGACAGATTGATGAGACCAAAAAATGCTGAATTAAACGCAGCGGTGTTGCCAGCTTGCACAGAAAGAACCTCTTTTGCTGAAGACGCCCTGGCATCCTTTGCAAGTGTTGTCCCAAACCTGTGAGCCCTCCAGACTCCCAAAAGAGCTGGTGGAAGAGCCAAAGAGAAAGATTAACACCAAAGAAATCTGCACTGATATCCTGCATCAAACATCAAAAATACATTTGAGAGTATTGGCTGCCCTGGCTGCTTCTCCCATGGGTGTATTATGTTTGTCTTGGGCATGAATGTGTGTTTGGGACAAACTGTTTTCATAGCCCTGCTAGTTTTTTTCATGCTGTCTCAAGGACATTTAATATAGAAACCCAGAAATATTGCTAGAATATTTTTTTTTCTCTTACATACTTTAAGAATAAAATTCTTTTTCAGCATTTCTAACACAGAGGTAAAATGTGACTGAAAGTAGTGCAACGCTCAGTTTGAATAAAAAATAAAGGAAGAGAAACTTCAGATTATAAAATTCAGCCCCCAGAACGTAGTTCCTGTACTTAGTGAAATGTAATTGCAGTTGATTAGGAAAGAATGACGCGTACACCCTTGACGAGAGATGGGGAGATATGCCCAGTGATGACAGCATTCAAGCTGGGCTTAGGGGAAAGTTCAGGATCAGCTTTTACATGGGCTTCGTGCAGGCTGCAGCAGCTCACTGCCCCACCATTTCCCAGCATGTTTTCTGTCGGAGCTGGTCCTCACCTCTGTATGTGTCCCGGTGTGCTACATCACCCTAAAGGTGCCTAAACCCTCAGAGAGGTACATAAAACACCTCCTGCCTGCCAAACCTCCCGTCTCAGCCTTCCTTTCCTGGGTGCGTGCACCTCTTCCTCCTCGTAGCTCCATGTGTGGAGCTCTCCGCCTTTGGTGGAGCTTGGACCATTTCAAACATCAGGTGAGAAAGCAAGCCAGCGCTTTTCCAAACTATCCATACGCCTCGACTGAGTAAACAGACTAAGGCAGACAGATTATTCTCCACCTGACAAGTTGGGCAGATGGTTAAAATTATTTTCTCTTGCAGAATGTACCTGCTGGAGAGCCCTCACAGGGGGATGGGCTGCTCCAATCGGCTCCATGGGGAAAGGGGAGATGTTTCTGCAAAATGCTATGTTTTTTGTGTGGCATGGTTTGGGGCTGAAAATAGACTTGCCGGCTCCAGAGCTTAATCACAGTGTCCCATGCTGAACTTGTTTAGGTCTATGGGTTTGCTGGGTTTTTGTTCCTGTTTCCAAGAAAAAGGCCGTGGGAACATAGTAGAGCAAATAGCATGTTAACATGTCTCTCCTCCCACAGAAGCACAATTCACATGTACGTCTGTCTGTTTGGACAGTGATAGCCGAGTGTAAACCAGAATCCATCCTCGCTTCAGAGGAGCTGAACATGAGGCACCTCTGGAAAAGCACTCTGTAAGGTAGCACATCAGTGGAAAAGGTAGGTGAAGAGGGGGGATTATCAGGCAACAAATCTGCAGATTTCCTTGGGAAGGCTAGTGTAAATAAAGGTTGTGAACTAGGATTTAAGTAGGTGATTCTCACGTCAGTTTTATCTCTACATTCCAAGTATGAGATGAAAAATGCATGGCCTGATTGCCAAGCTGTAATAGAGGTATTGCAAACAATTTAATTGTTTAGCAAAGGAGGGAGAAAAATGAATTATTAGGCTGAAGCACTAATGGAAATTTTAAGTATTAATAAATAAATATTTAACAACAAAGTTGGTTAGTGTTTGAAGAGTAAGCAACTCTACAATCAGAGTAATACAAAGCAAAGTAATTTCTTTTATTTACACCTAAAGTTACAATTAAAAGTCTTTCAAGATTACATGAACAAATTGTGATGTTTAGTTTCTGGTTTAGACTACAGACTTGAAAGAAATTCCAGCTGTGACAAATTTAAAACGGATATACTGAGTAGGAATAAAGGCAGATGCACACAGCCAAGTGCAACGCCACATTGTTTAATTAAACAAATGCCTCATTTCAGAATAAATGAAATCTTGGTAAAAATTCTCTGCAGTCTGCTGCTGCTCTTAGGTTTCCCATTCCGTGGTGTCTGTCCCTCTGCACTGACATCTGCTGCGCTGTGAGTCACGCAATGGTTTGCACAGGTGAGAATTCTCCAGATTTTATTTTGCATCTATCTTCTTTCAAATGCTCAGCCTGCACATGAATATAATGGGAGGGTCACAAAATATTAGGCTCTTCATTCACACCGTTGATGTTTAAATCCACTGTTGTCTCTCTGAAACGCCCGGGCAACCATTGCCTATTTCAGAAAATGCCCCACATTCAGAAGTACGTTCAGGACCAAAGCTCCCTTGACTACACAAACGCGAGCAAGAGTGGTGGCTTTCAGGGGAAGCTGTTACAATATGAATGGAATAATAAAATATTCCTTCAGCCAAAGGAAGAGAGAGAATGACTTGGCACCCCAACAAGATGACGCAGCATTGCCAAAGTGGTTTCTCGAGACTACTATAATGGCATTGTCTGGCTGCCTCTCAGACCCCCTTTTAACAATTTGTCTAACCTTTTGACCAATTTCAACCAAACTCTGTGGGAAAGCAGAGCTCTTCAAGAAATGAATGTTTCTACAAGTTTTGTGTGGACAGGGGCAAGGAAGACTGAAACATGTGCCCTTTGCAAGGCAAAGGATGCTGTGTGAGCATGGCGGCTGGGCAGCTAGCACATGCAAACGTAGCGTGGGGTTAGAGCAAATGCTGCCATTTGCACGACTCCTGCTCTGGAGATGTAGGGAGAGATGAGGGTGGTGTGGATGGAAACACAGAGCATTGCAATTCAACTGTCCTAAGGAGCACATATAGAGATGAGCTGGAGTTACCGTGGTCAGAGTGGGCATGGAAAGGGCAGCACTTGCTAGGAAACATGGATTCCTTCATTGTGCTGCTCAGCAGATGACTTGCTTAATCCAAAGGCTGAATTTTCAATGCACAGGTAATAAGCCATATGTTTTATGGCCATAGTCATTGACTTTACTGGTAGATCTGGAGCACACCTGTGTACTGGGCAGCCCCTCATCATATTTGACCTGTCTAGGGTGATGGCTGGTGGTAAATTGGAATAGGTGGTAAAAGACGTTTCGAGACACTTTGCCAAGCTGAGGACTGCAGTGCTTTGAGAAAGAGCACTAGTTCACAGTGCAGACTTCGGCTCTTTTGTGGATCCATATTCATTATTGTGCTACAAGTGAACTTGGCAAGCAAGGGTTTGGAGCGCCTGCTTTGGCAGCTGGGAGCTCACACCCAGGGTAAGCACACAGCTCCTTTACAATAGTTTTTGCCACAGAAACAAAACCTGGAAAAACAAAGAGGGCTCTGCTGAAAGGGAAGGGGACTGCTGAGGAACTGCCTATGGGGAACCCAGGATGGCTGGAATCCACATCTCACCAACAAGGTACCACAGGGGCAAACGCAATGACATCTTGCAACCTATAGCATGGAGAAGAAATGCAGACTGACTGTTTCTCTGGATGTTGGATGCGGGGGTGAAGTCCAGGGAGCATTCAGAGTTCTCTTGGGAAGGAGTGGGAAGAGCAGATCCCCTGTTTGCCCTTTCTCTGGTGCCTACCCCAGACTTGAGGTCGTTTTCACCTCCGGCAGCTGTGCTCACGTGGGCTTGGTGGGAGACACGGGTAGCCGGCTGTCCTGCAGCAGGCTCTGCCAGCCTCCTGATTTCTGGCTCTTGGGGATGTATGCTCGCTGTGGGAGGCATGTGCAGAGCTGTCGAGAGCAGAAGCAGTGCAGGCAGCCGGAATCCCATTCCTCCAACCCTGTTTCTCAGCAGGGCACTTATTCCAGGGCTGTATTTCCCTTTGATTGATTACCTCTGCCATTGTGGGGCTGACATCTTACACGGGAGTCCTGCTTGGTCCCTTATCATGGGAGCGTGAGAAATGATCATTCCCCAGCGACACCCATTGATAACAGTGAATAATAGCCGGGAAGCGAGGCAGACGATAGTAGGAACATGCTCAACGGAGGTGCTGTTATTCTTGGGACAGGAGGCTTCTGCAGAGGAGGAGGAGAGTTTGGAGGGTGGACGGGGGGGTGGAGGGGTCCTGTCATTGCTGATGCTCTCTAGGGCTCAGCAGCTGGAGAGAAACATTGGCTAAGGATGGTCAAAGCTGGGAAGGAAAAAAAACGAGGAGGGGAAGGGATGAAGTGAAAGGAGCTAAGAGCCACGCTGGAGAGCATACAGACAGCCCGGTGACCTCTGGTGCGCGAGGGATGAAGGAAACAGCCCGTGATTGACTATGTGGACCATCTGGGTGATCATCTTCTGTATTTCAACTGTCCTGGTAGGTGCTCAGAGTTATTTATTCCCACTTGCATGAAATCACATGTTGTCTGAGTAAGTGCACCTCTATTCCATGAAGTCGTGGTGGTTTTGTTTAAAAAGGTCTGTGTAGAAGCTGGGATTTTTTAATTTTACTCTTGTTTCTGCTCCTTCCTGCGCTAATTGACAGTGGCCAGATGGCTAGATGATGGATGCCTCAGTTTACCCACCTATATAAAGACAGCAGTGTTACTAACTTGCTTTGGTAAACATAGCAGGTTCTGTGATGAAGGAGAAAAGATTTGATGCCATTTAGAGAAGCTTTGCTGATTTACACCAGCAAGCAATCCCCTAAGGGGGAATGCCCACCACTACCAAAGCCTCCCTTGACTCAGATTGAAGGAATGCAAACTGATGTTTGACCCACAAAGTTTGGTTTCTTGCTTTTAGCTTTATCACTTTACTGGGAGTTTATGTGACAGATTGTCACTGCTGAGCTCCGGGTGCTCAGACCCGTCAGGAAGGACAGCTGAACCTGGGCTGTGATGCCCATGTGCGGCTCAGCTTATTTGTGTTTTGAAAGCATATAAAAGCAAGACTGAAATAAGTCCAGTTTGAGTGTGAGAAGTTGGAAAAGGATCAAACTCCTGGCAAGTGTAAAAAAATCACTGTTTCATTGCAACTAATGGAAAAATCAATCTATGTGTCCCAGCAGGGGATTTGGTTCAAACTGAGAAAACCTGAGCTCTGCCTAAATATTTTAATTGCAGAGTGAAGGCAATCAGCAAACTTTTTGCCTTTTGATCATCCTCCACAATAAAAATAGTGACTTTAATGGTTTTCTTGTCATTTTATTTTCTTATTAACTGTTACCTACAGGACTCTGTAAATAGATGTCATTGCTCAGGGTGCCACTGAGAGCATCTCCTTCTGCTTGTTCTCTTTCTAATCCTTCAAAATACCTATTTTGATCTTGCCAGGCATCTTTTGTTCTCCTTTAAATCCTCTCGTTAAACTAAACCCACTTACTTTCAAATTAAATAGCTGTGAATTCTGTGGCTGCAAATATTATTTATATTAAATATTGTTTAGATCCGTCCATTTCACAGGCTAAAAACTGTAGTCGGCTGTTGCTATCAATATGACGAACTGCAGCTTTCTGCCTGTTCTGGACATCTGTTTATCACAGCTATTTCTGTTTGGAATTATTTTGGTTCCTGACATTTTCTTTAAACAAAACATGAGGATGTCTTGCCTCCTCATCAAAATCTGACAGCCTGCGAGCTGGGAGCTGTTTCAGTGAACTGCTTAGGAAAAGACCAAAAAAACCCATGTAGAGGAGCCCATTTTCCTCCTCGATTTCAAGGTGCGGGGGCCGTCTGTTTGCTCCCAGTTGCGGACGGTAAACACGAGCGAGACCAAGCGCAGCTGGCAGCAGAGTGGGGTTATCTAGCTGTGGCACGGGAAGCGGGATTTGGCATCGCCTGGCAAACAGCCTCGCCGGACCTGTGATGGCCCCGCTCGCACAGAGCCTGCCCCGTCGGATGCCGGCGTTGGCAAAGACCGACCGAGGGACAGCGTTTGTGGAAAACAAGGGCTTTAAACCAGCACTTGGAAGCTCTCTGCTTTCTCTGGGTTTAAAATCTAATTACGCGCATGTCTGTTACCAGACAGCAGCGTCTGATCAGAAGAGAAGGGTGGACATCACTTGGCGGGGTTAAACACTAATTGTAAGGCATCAGCACACCATATTCCTGCTTGAGCACACATTTTATGTCAGAAATTAGTGCTCTATCAGATCATCGCAGTGGTCTGCACAGCTGGATGTGCTAAAAGCATCCAGCCTCATTCTAGCCATAACGATATAACGTAGTCTTTAAATCTCATGTTGGAACAAAATCTTTCTTAGGCCCTACATTTCTTAAAAAGAAACAGTGGCCACAAGATGTATAGCCTTGTTTAAGGTGAACAGTTTTCCTGTTTCTGAGATGATTGTTACTAAAACGTGATTGCTAGCATTTATTTTTACGTACGTTCAGTATCATGAACAACCTGCACGCAAACCAGACCGGTTTTGTTGGCCGCTTCAAATGCTCAGTACTAATATTGGTTTTTAATGTATTTTCAAGGTAATGTTTGGACAACAATACTATAGTAGAAGTATGTTGTATGTCTTAACTGTCACGTTTGTACTTGTGAACTCTGAAAATGTACTAAATTGCTTTACTATTGGTAATCAAATAGATAACAACAGAGAGTTATAAATAATGCACATTCAAAAAATCTGTCAATATTTAGAAATTATCAAATTCAGCCTTCAGCTAACAACTAAAACTACTAAATGCTATTACATTTCTTTACGCATGTTACTCCAATCAGATATTTCTATTTTTTCTGAAGATTAAATGGATTTTTAGAAGTATTTCTTTCCCCCCCCCCCCCAAATATGGCATGGCTTAA